AAAAGGTAGATTTTTATTAAAAAGAATGGCTACCCCTCTTTTGTTCTGAGAATAAGAGGAAGAATAAACTTGGCCCACCCAATCTCTCCTCAGCTTTGAGTGTTCAGTGTCGGATAATTTTGTTTCCTGAAGCAGTACTATGTCAGGTTTCTGTTTTTTCAAATGAGTTAAGATTTTTTTCCTCTTAATTACATGTCCAATCCCTTGAACGTTCCATGTAATAAGTTTAAGTGAACCAGCCATAAAGAGTGCGAATTAATCGTGCAGATAAAACAAAACTGTTAGGCACTGTAATACGGCAGAGAGTTGGCCTACAACTGACAAATAAGACATAGAAAAACAACTTGCAACGCGCGCCCACCCCAACTCTATCCCCAAACGACAGAGTAAAATCCCTCAGAATGAAGTCAACAAACATAATGATCAAATACAAAACCAAAATAAATTCAAAGACCACCAAAATAGTTCGGACGCCAGAGATAACGGCCAAACCAAGGAAAGTGTGAAAAAAGCATTATAAGAACCCAAAAAGAAACGAGAGTCACATGGGAATAAAATGGATACTATAATATAAACAGAGAGCTATATTTTGAAATAAAATCAAACCATACTACCTCTTCAATGAGGTTAGCTCTGTTGAATATTATCAGAAGAAAGTCAAAAGTAATGGGACAAGTACTCACTATGTCAAGACAGTATTCTTACATTCCTCCCAGACAAAGGAAAACTGAATATCTCAAGTAAGAGTTTCCAAAAAGGTGGCGGCCGCGTCGGGGGTATCGAAAAGACGAATCTGCCCGTTGTGAAGACAACGGAGCCGCGCCGGATAAGCGAAGCCGCGATACATGTTGCGACGAGCCATCAGCTTTCCAACGGAATCAAACTCACGGCGTTTTCGCAGGACCTCCACCGACAGGTCGGAGTAAAACCTTAATCTGGATCCACTGTAGATGATATCACGCTTCTGCAGAGCTGCCCTGAGAACCGCTTCTTTCTGGGAGTATCGGAGAAATCGTACTAGGATACTCCTTGGCGGTTTGCTTGCGTCTGGGCTGGGGACTAGAGCACGATGGGCACGTTCAATCTCCAGAGGGGGAAAGTCAGCAGGTAGGCCGACTAAAACTGGGATATTCGTTTGGAGTAAGTCCACGAGTGAAGTTGAACCCTCCGCTTTCTCCGGGAGATTGACAATTTTTAAATTCTTCCGACGTTCGCGGTTCTCTAGGTCGTCAACCTTCAGCTGTAGGGTATCCAGTATCTTTTGCATAGCTGTTAATCGACCGTCGTGATTATCGCATAAATCCTCCGTAGTAGAGATCCGAGTCTCGGCTTCATCCATTCGCGTTTCCAGGTCTGTTGCCCGGTTGGATAGATTTGAAATAGAGAGTTCGATCGAGCCGATGGATGTTTTTATGTCACCCAAAAAAGTACTGTCTATCGTGTCCAGACGAGATTCAACAGATTCATTCATGTTATTGACACGCGATGCTACTGATTGGATTTCCGTCAAAATCTGATCCATTGTTGCCGTGCCGATAGCTCCCACAGGGCTCGTTTCGCCCGTGGTTTCGCCATGATGATCCTCAGCAGAGGAACACGCGGTTGGCTGAGTCTTAGTTTTCTTCCTCCCGATAGACGAGCCGGGCGATGAAAAAATAGGAAAATCTTTGTCGCGAGGAGGTTTAGGCATACTTGAGATAGGAGAATAACAAATAAAATGACGTCTGTTTGGAAAAAGGGGAAAATAATCCTTGTTTTGGCAAAGAGCGAAGTCTCAAGCGTTCATCCTGCAACGGGTCACGTGACCACCCCCACTCTTGTTGTTATTATTATTATTATCTTTGGTAATGCAACATTCTCTCACTCTGCTAAGTCCAGTCTCAGTTTTAATTAATTATTCAGTCATGCAAGCACTTGACTTCTTTTCTTTTAATTAATTTATTATCATTATTAAATGCTTACAGCTGGACTGATGTCTATGAAAAGAAAGCAAATAGAGTGTTAGCCTAACAGAACATAGAGAACTGCTGCTGGACCAGTGTATAACCAAAATACAATTAATATGGCCAATCAATGAAATTATAAGCGGTCTCTGTAGTGATCATTTAAGAGGCATCACCTGTGCCTGCTTAGGAAAGGATGAAGTCCTTTTGCTTGGATACTTTGAACTGGTTGGGCTGCTGTCATGTTTCTCTTCTCATCCGATGCATTTGATCTGTCAGTCCTCATTCAAGGGTCTGGCGTCATGTTCTGACACAGTGGTTGGACTGGATGCTGTACTCTCTCTGCCTCTCCTCAGCCTGGCTTTTGGCCAAGCAACGGGGAAGGCACATTTGCAGAATGGCAGGGTGTTTTTTTCTTGGTTGTTTCTGCATCAACACAGTCTTTGTCTATACCAGCTCCTCAGAAGTTTCAACTTCATATTTTCAGGGAGGATGAAGGCCCACCAACCAAATGCCTCTTCTTTTCTCTGCAGCCGTGTCCTTATGTTTCTTGCTCTCACTTGTTGCACAGTCTAGTTGCTGTTGTTCATGTCGAGTCAGATGCCCCAAAAGCTGGCTGGTGTCATCTGGAAAATGAACACTCAGAGATCCGCATGAATCAAGTTCATACTTTATAATAAATTCTTCAACCATCTCTTTCAATTGTCCCTTAATTTCAGAAGTCTCATCTGGTTGATAACAGCAGTTTCCCCATGCGGTTTTAATAAAGCAAGTTCTTCTTTGCAGTAAAGAGCAAGCATGTTCTTCTTTGCAGAATGCAGAAAATAGCAGCCTATCAGTCCGTCTGAATTCCCTTATATGGTGTTTTTATCAATTGCTATTTCGATTCCTACTCCCTCAAACATTTTTAGGATTAAATTAATTACTCTCATTACTGTAAAAATGCATAAAATACAATACAGTATACGTCTGTTAAAAGTGTTTTTTAAGCTTGGTCACCCAATCCTGCTCATTCAACACAATCAATGTATTATTTAAAATAACGCAATTAAAAAATCTAAATTTCTACAATGGATCAAATTTCGAACTGTCTCCCAGGGATAACAAGATACAAACATATAGGCCATGTTTTTATACAGTATAACAGGTCAATCATACTCACATCTAGCATGTCTCTCTCTTTTTCTGTATATACTTTATATATCTCTAAATGTCAGATATTTCTATAATCCTTTTTGTCACTTATTCTTTTTTGAACTGCACAAACCACTTATACAAAGTAGAACACAGTATTTTTGATGGCCACCAGTTTTTCACAATCCACCATATCAATCTCTGTTAGGCCTGCTTATTAATTCAATTTCCCTATAGACCGGTCAACTAACATTTATTCAATTTTAGTAGTTTCTTTCACGTTAAATTCTTATCAATTATTTTTATTGGTGTTTTCTCTGTAATTCTGAAACTAGCCTATTTTTAATTCTGACTGTATTAGCAGAATTCACCAATCCTACTTGATCTGTTTGAAATCTGTTTGAAAGAGGAACTCAACAGTTTTCAAACCTGTAAAAGGCCCCAAAAGCCGCTAAGAGTCTCAAAATCATAAAAAAAGAATATTAAATTTTGATGCGTTGCTATGGCAACATTATCTTAGTTCTTAAATAATGTTTTCAAAGGTCTTCATCTGGCGTGTGTTTACATTATACACATGAAGACTGAAGCAAATCGGGTTAAAATAAGAGGGTGATTTCAAAGCATTTTTAAAGTGACACACTTCCTGCTGCCAGTTGGTGGCGCTATAACTTTGACTCACAATAGTCACATCCATGTGATCATCCTCTTACAGCGAACACACTGCTGAAGTTTCATCAAGATCAGTTAATGTATGCTGAAGTTATGACACACCTTCTGTTTCAAGTTTCTCGCCATAATTTTGTTTCCTCGTCACGGCCAAACCGTTTGAAATATCAAAAATCCCCTTGCAAACTTTCATCCTCAATGTCTTGACTTCACGCTGACAGAGTTTCGGCGAATTTGGATCAGAGCTCTAGGAGGAGTATTTCAAATTCCATTGCGTGTGTTTTACAAACAACCCTCAATAGCCCACTTCCTGTTGGGCTGGGGTAAAAAGAAAAAGTGCGAAGTATGCGAAGAAATGTGTGCGAAGAAATGTATTTTCTTTTTCTGCAGGCCAGACACACAGCAGTGAAATGGCAGTGAAAAGCCCCCTCCCCCTACAAACACAAACACACACACAGACAGGCAAAGACAGAGACAGAGACAGAGACTTAGGCTCAGAGAGAGCATGACCACATTCAGACAAACATATCTGACTTTCTGTGGGTCCTAGCTAGGGGTGGCACGGTACATGAAAAAACACCCGAACCGTTCGGTTCGCTTGTCTCGGTTCGGAGCGTCTGTGCGTCTCACGGTTCGACGCATGCGCAATGTAACCTCGTGCCCGTATGTGACGTGTGTTTTCTTTTCGCGCGACATAAGCTTGTTCGACTTGGACCGGCGCTGCACAGAGCGACCGGTGAATAACATCACACTAGAGCGGGAACAACGGCTCCGTCACTCACTTTCGCGGTATTTGATGTCATTACCGATCGCTCTGTGCAGCGCCGGTTCAAGTTCGTAAACAAGCCAGTAAAAGTGGAGTATGGAGCGCTGCAGGTCACGGCACGCGGAGAAATGGCAAGTGGGAGAGATGAGGGAGTTGGAGGATGCGCCAGCGTCCTATAAGTCTATAAGTCCGGTGTGTGGCGACATTTTTGATTTCATGTTATGGTTGTCACAGGGTAAGCCTGCGACTGTGCATGGACACACACACATACACATGCACGTTACGCGCATACACCGGCGTCATGTATTACAGTCTGTTAGCCGACATATATTTATGTATGCATTGACCTGTGTGACATTTGATATCATTGTGTTGTAAACTTGTATGATGGTCTGTGTGTAGTTTTATCTGAGTAATGACCACTAGTAATCGTATACGAGTGAATAGAAGTGTTTAATAGAAGTGTTTTTCTCATGCGGGAAGGAATCACCACCACGAGTATTTGATTAACATATTTTATTGATTAAAGTGGAAGAGATATAGAAGATGCTTACCATGTTGTGATGAGTCGTTGGCCAAATCTGTTCGGTTGAACATCCGGTCTATTTATAGGTCTTGTGTCCGCGCCAGCTAGTGGCGCGTTCATGTGAGTGACGTCACCGGAGAGTTTATTCTCATAGTTTTTAAGTTATGGGTTTTCTTTGAATATATATATATATACTTGTGGATATGATTTATTACATATATGTTTATTTGTATTTATTACTTTTGTTATTGTTTTTGTTTTCTTCATTATTATTATTATTATTATTATGCATTCCTGTAAGTGTATGAAATGTGTTACCTTTAAGGTGGTATGTTCCAGAGTAGGAGGAGTCAGGGCTATAAAATGACTCCAGAAAGTTATTAGGGCAGTCAGAGATAGGAGGTGAAGGAGAGGTCTAGACAGACCATGGACTGCTCGTGAGTTTGTAACTCTGGGAAAATACTACTTATGTAGTGTTTTTGCACAGGTCAGGTTATGCTCTTTTGCTTGGCCTTATGTTGTGCAGTCTTATATTTGGTTGCCTCTAAGTTTTTGTTTTGTTTTTCTGTTTTTCCCACAAATTCTGAGTGACTGTCACCCTGCACTGCAATAAAAGCACTGTTAACCCTGACCAACTGTTTCCTCTGTCAATGGGAACCTCCAACCGCTCAAGGCGTTCATAACATTTGGTGTCAGAAGTGAAGCTTCATAACAGTTGGTGTTTAACAGCGGCTAAAGTGACTGTAACTTAAAATGCCACCGAAAACCAGGGGTCAGGTGACTGCAGATGTGGAAGTGGAAGGAGATCAAGGTGCAGTGGGTGGCGTTCCAGAGGAAGGTGTCCAAACTGTTGAGGTCCCAACCACCGCAGGAGATAGGGCTGTGACAGCCCTGGCAGGGATGTTTCAAGCCTTTCTGGAGTACCAGAAGGACCGGGATGAGAGGCAAGAGAAAGAGTCGGTACGACGTGAGCAGCAGTACAAGGTCCTCAATCATCAGGTCACACAGATGCAGATGGACGTGGAGCATGCCAGGCATAAAGTTGCCCATTTAGACCAGGCAGGTTTACGAGTGCAGAATCATGTGCCTCCATTGCCAAAACTACAAGACAGTGATGATGTGGAACATTTTCTGACCACCTTTGAGAGATTGGCAGAAGTATACAGGTGGCCAAGAGAAGACTGGGCGATTCATCTGATTCCCTTGCTCACTGGAAAAGCGAGAAGTGCTTTTGTCGCCATGGCACCTGCCTTTACCTCTGACTATGACAAAGTCAAAGAGGTGATTCTCAAGAAATATGAGATTAATCCAGAAACATATAGACTGAGATTTCGTTCATTGAGCACCGACAGTGAGGAGTCCCCAACAGAATTGTACATTCGCTTAAAAGACTTGTTCTCAAAGTGGGTCAAGTTGGACATGAGCAGTAAAACCGAGATAATGGAGACATTGGTATTGGAGCAGTATATGAGAGTGCTGTATCCGGAGGTGAGGATCTGGGTGAAGGAGAGAAATCCCAGTACCGCAGGAGAAGCAGCTGACCTGGTAGAATCCTATATAGCAGCGCGAAAGGGATCTTCTGGGACCTTCCGGTACTCTGGTGTCTTCTCGGAGGCAAGAGGTAAGTCTGTGGGGTCAGGGGGTAGTTCGTTCTCTCAAACTAAAGCCCAAAGTTTTAAAGTCACTGATCCAAAGCCTTCACTGCCGGTAGTCACACAGCAGATGCCTAGAAGCGATATAGTATGTTATAATTGTGGAGAGGTAGGACATACTAGCCCACATTGCCCGGTGAGAAAACCCAAAGCTGCCAGTTTGTGTTATGTGCCCCAGTCTAGCCCTAAGATAGTGTTGAAGCCAGATAAGGAGCCCACTATTTCAGTGTTATTAAATGGTAAGTTGCTGACGGCGTTGGTAGATACAGGATGTACACGTACGTTAGTACAGTCACAATATATAGCTAGAGAGTCATGGACTGAGGAAACCGTAACGGTTTGTTGTGTACATGGAGATAAGTCAGAATTACCTACTGCTGAGGTGTATTTGGAGGTCAACAAGCAGTCATTTTTGATGAATGTAGGTGTTACCACAAACCTGCCCTATCCCGTGTTGCTAGGAACTGATATGCCCATATTAGCAGACTTAGTGCAGGAGACAGCTTGGTGTGGGATAGTTACTAGAGCGCAGGCGAAAAGCATACCCGGATAGCACAAACTGAAGATTCGATAGATGGCACTCTGCAGGATATGCCATTTTTTCTGGAAGAAAGTCTAGCTGAAGAAGGGTTGTCTGAGGAAGATAGATTGGACAAACGCAGGAAAAAAGTGGCAGATTTGATGGATAGCTCACAACAGACAAAGTTTGAGTGGGAAGAACCAGAGATTGCTGAGTCAGAGTTTGTCATACCCAGTGAATTGGGACAGCTTCAGAAAGAGGATGCTACTTTGTCTGAATGTTTTAGGAAAGTTAGCAAAGATGCAACTGTGAGTTCATTGTATGGTGAGACATTTATGGTGGAACAAGGTCTTCTTTACAGACAGAGTGAAAAGGAAGGTTTGCAGTTAGTGGTACCCAAATCTCAGCGCAGAAAGGTGTTAGAGCTCAGCCATTCAATTCCTTGGTCAGGTCATATGGGATTCAGGAAGACATTGAGGAGAGTTTCGAAACGTTTTTATTGGCCCGGTATGTATACTGAGGTGAAAGAATACTGCAAAACCTGTCCTGAGTGTCAGTTAGCAGTTGGTAGGGCACCTGCAAAGGCACCTCTTGTTCCGATACCTGCAGTAGATACACCTTTGAGAGGATAGGGGTGGACATTGTTGGACCGGTGGAGAGAAGTCAGAAAGGGAACCGTTTTATCTTGGTGGTTTGTGATTATGCAACCAGATACCCCGAGGCCTACCCTTTAAGAGACGTTACTGCAAAACAGATTGCAGCTGCACTGTTAAACTTCTTCTCACATGTAGGCATTCCTAAAGTAGTTTTGACTGACCAAGGCCCCAATTTCATGAGTCGTACCCTAAAACAAGTCTATCAGTTACTGGGCATTAAGAGAGTTCGGACTACTCCATATCACCCCCAGACTGATGGTCTGGTAGAAAGATTTAATCAGACCTTAAAAGAATGTTGAAGAAGTTTGTGTCTGAGAATGGAAAAGACTGGGACAAATGGCTGCCTTACCTTTTGTTTGCTTACCGTGAAGTTCCTCAAGCATCCACCGGGTTTCTCCTTTTGAATTACTGTTTGCTCACCAGATTCGGGGTCCACTGGACGTTTTGAGAGACAGTTGGGAAGCCAATGACAAGCCCACCAAGCAGAACATTCTTTCGTACATCCTCAAAATGAGAGAGAAGTTGCAACTGGCATCCACCCAGGCACGGGAGAGTGTGCAGGAGTCACAAGTGAAACAGAAGATATGGTATGACCAGAAGGCCAGGTCCCGAACTTTCCAAGCAGGAGAGCAAGTGTTGTTGTTACTTCCAACGTCAGAGAACCGACTGTTGGCCAAATGGCAAGGCCCATATCAAGTGAGGAAGAAAGTTGTTCCAGTAACGTATGAAATAGAAATGCCATCCAGAAATAAACCTTTGCAGACTTTTCACGTTAATATGTTGAAAAAGTGGCACAGTCCGCCTGCACAGCCAGAACCAGTAAGAGCAGAGGTGAAGGACCTCTTGGTAAGGGCAGTACAGGAAGAGGACGAAGTAGAGGAGCAGTTCTTGCCTGTTGGTGGAAGTGAGTACCCTTTAAATCTTCAGCATTTGACAGTGGAACAAAGAAGTCAGTTGCAAAATTGTATACCTGAGCAGCTGTTCCAGGACACACCTGGGAAGACAGATCTGGTACAACATCACATTTATTTGAAGGATGTGAAACCGATTCGACAACCAGTGTACAGAGTTCCAGAAAGGCTGGTGCCTATCATGAAGCAAGAGTTGGAAGTTATGCAGAAACTAGAGGTCATAGAACCATCAGTAAGCGAGTGGAACAACCCCATTGTGCTGGTGCCAAAAAAAGATGGGTCCCTAAGGTTCTGTTTGGACTTTAGAAAACTCAATTCGGTGAGCAAATTTGATCCTTACCCTATGCCCAGAGTCGATGATTTAATTGAAAAGCTTGGCAGTGCACAATACCTCACAACTCTTGATCTGTGCAAAGGTTATTGGCAAGTGCCCTTAAGTCCAGACAGTAAAGAGTTTACAGCGTTCAAGACTCCATTTGGGCACTATCAATTCCGCGTGCTTCCTTTCGGACTACATGGGGCTCCTGCGACTTTTCAGAGGATGATCGATCAGATCCTTACTGGAACTGAGAAATACGCAGCGGCATATTTGGATGACATCATTATCTTCAGTAGGACATGGCAGGGTCATCTGATACATCTCAAGGAGGTGTTAACTCGAATAAAAAATGCTGGTCTTACTATTCGCTCAGACAAGTGCACAATAGCTAAGGCAGAGACCTGTTATCTTGGTCATGTGCTGGGGCATGGAGTCATACGCCCTCAGGTTGGGAAGGTGGAGGCCATTAAACAGGCTGAGCGGCCTGTAACCAAGAAGCAAGTAAGGTCGTTCCTTGGCCTGGTGGGGTGGTATAGACGCTTTATCCCGAACTTTTCTGAAAAAGCCTTAGCCCTTACTGAGCTCACAAGGAAGAACAAACCCAACAAGCCTAATTGGACTGCAGACTGTGAGCGTGCTTTTATGTACTTGAAAGATGCTTTATGTGAAGAGTCAGTGTTGCAGAGTCCGGAGTTTGACCAAGTTTTTACAGTGCAGACTGATGCTTCACAATTTGGCCTTGGGGCTGTACTTTTGCAGGGAGAGCAAGGACACTTAAGACCCATTGCTTTTATCAGCAGGAAACTCCTTCCACGAGAGACACGGTATTCAACCGTAGAGAAGGAATGCCTGGCGGTCAAATGGGCCTTGGACTCTTTCAGGTACTACCTAATGGGTAGGAGGTTTAAATTAGAAACTGATCATCGGGCACTGGTTTGGCTGGGCCGAATGAAAGACACGAATGCTCGTATAACACGGTGGTTCCTGGCTCTGCAGCCATTCGACTTTGAGGTTGTCTATCGGACTGGCTCGGAAAACTGCACCGCAGATTTCCTCTCCAGGACACCACGAGTGGTGTCTGGGGAAGGGGGAGGAAATGTCACAGGGTAAGCCTGCGACTGTGCATGGACACACACACATACACATGCACGTTACGCGCATACACCGGCGTCATGTATTACAGTCTGTTAGCCGACATATATTTATGTATGCATTGACCTGTGTGACATTTGATATCATTGTGTTGTAAACTTGTATGATGGTCTGTGTGTAGTTTTATCTGAGTAATGACCACTAGTAATCGTATACGAGTGAATAGAAGTGTTTAATAGAAGTGTTTTTCTCATGCGGGAAGGAATCACCACCACGAGTATTTGATTAACATATTTCATTGATTAAAGTGGAAGAGATATAGAAGATGCTTACCATGTTGTGATGAGTCGTTGGCCAAATCTGTTCGGTTGAACATCCGGTCTATTTATAGGTCTTGTGTCCGCGCCAGCTAGTGGCGCGTTCATGTGAGTGACGTCACCGGAGAGTTTATTCTCATAGTTTTTAAGTTATGGGTTTTCTTTGAATATATATATATATACTTGTGGATATGATTTATTACATATATGTTTATTTGTATTTATTACTTTTGTTATTGTTTTTGTTTTCTTCATTATTATTATTATTATTATTATGCATTCCTGTAAGTGTATGAAATGTGTTACCTTTAAGGTGGTATGTTCCAGAGTAGGAGGAGTCAGGGCTATAAAATGACTCCAGAAAGTTATTAGGGCAGTCAGAGATAGGAGGTGAAGGAGAGGTCTAGACAGACCATGGACTGCTCGTGAGTTTGTAACTCTGGGAAAATACTACTTATGTAGTGTTTTTGCACAGGTCAGGTTATGCTCTTTTGCTTGGCCTTATGTTGTGCAGTCTTATATTTGGTTGCCTCTAAGTTTTTGTTTTGTTTTTCTGTTTTTCCCACAAATTCTGAGTGACTGTCACCCTGCACTGCAATAAAAGCACTGTTAACCCTGACCAACTGTTTCCTCTGTCAATGGGAACCTCCAACCGCTCAAGGCGTTCATAACAATGGTATTTTAATATAACGTTACAGTGGCACTTTATGTTTAGATAAGAGCTTCAGTCAAATGTTTCCAAATCCTGCACTTTAATTTAAACTGAAAAAAAGGTACCCTCACTTTTTGGGAATAGAAGCATTGTTGATACTGTTTTTTGTGTTGAGGTTGAACTTTTCACTTTATGGCCTTTGCTATTTCTATAGCCTAATTATAGGCAATGAGGTTTCATGTATATTGACTTATTCATAAAAGACAGTGTAGTTCCTCTTTTTTTCTTTTAAAAGATAGAATTTTTGTAAGAGCTACAAAAGTTGTCAGTTCATAAATGCAAGTTAATTTCTTTGTGTAAATAAGATTTGTGTGATAAAAATGCACAAGTTCTTATAGAGATTGTCACGGATCCATCTGCGTCAGCACCAGACACCTTCACTCCGCCCACTCGTTCCAGCTCCCCAGCATACTAATCACTGTCACCTGCCCGCTTCAATCACCGTCCCAATCATCCTCCCTTTATAAACTCACTCCTCACAGTCACTCACCGTCTGGTCTCGTCGACACACCGACTACAGACTCCCGCTACACTACTGCCTTCTTCTGAGGAATACTTACCCGCTTACTTCAGCCCGTCTGCTTCTCATCCGCTCCTGGTCCCCGGTCATCCTTCTGGTCATCCGTCTGCTGCCCCGCTTACCATCTCCCAGCCCTGCTTAAGATAAGAAACCCATTATCAGACTGTTTCCCACTCCTGAACCGAACTTTATCCATTCCTCACTTACCAGCTGTCAATCATACCCACTGTTTCAATAAACCTGGTTATACTCATCCATCTGTGTCCCTCTAGTCTGTGACAGAAGACCAGACCAACATAATGCAGCAATCTACCCCGAGCACCAGCGCTACACCGACCCCACCTCTTCCTACCATTCCCCGGACCAGCACTCCAGCACTCGCCACATCCACCGTACCACTTCTTCTGCATCTGCCTCTGCCAGTCCCATGGCCCAACCAGCGCCCTTCTCAGGCGAGGAGGAGGAGTGCAGCGGCTTCCTTTTGCAGTGCGAGCTCTATATGGAGATGAATCCGTTATCCTTCCCCACAGAACGATCTAAGGTGGCCTTCTTCATCTCACTCCTGCGAGGACGAGCGCTCAGCTGGGCTCACACGCCCTTTGGAAGGATCGTGGCCCAGTTACCCGGACATTCGCCGCTTTCTCTGGCCATTTCACCGAGGTGTTCTCACAGTCAGCCCACTCCATCTCCGTCCAGGATCAGCTGTACCGCCTGAGACAAGGGAGATCGTCCGTCGCCTCATATGCGCTGCAATTTCGCACCCTCGCTGCCACTCTCGTTGGAATGAGTCTGCTCTCATCACTGCCTTCCGTCATGGTTTACAGCCAGATATCCGCCTCCAGCTCGCGGTTTATTGACGACAACGTCGGCCTTGAGAGCATCATCCAGCGATCCATCCGTATCGATCAGCGACGCACTGCATGCCAGCTCGACAGCCCTGCACCTCCAACTCCTCGTCCTGTGCCCCGCCACCACAGTCCTCCAGCACCAGAACCCATGGAAGTCGGTACCACTCACCTGCCGGTATCTGAGAGGAATCGACGAATCACCAACGGGCTGTGTCTGTACTGTGGAGCCTCCGGTCATCTGCTCGCCTCCTGTCCCGTTCGTCCGCCCCGACCAGCTGTGAGTACAGTCCAGTTACCATTGCCCATCTCCTCCTTGAAATTCACTGCGGCCACTATCACTTACCTGAACCGTTCCATTTCAGTCCAGCTTCATTGCAACTTCATTGCACTGTCCACGTTAAACCGGCTCCAAACCCGGCAACGAACCATCCCTCACAAACTACAAGTCCAAACCATTCTGGGTCAACCACTGGGACGCGGCCGGGTTGGACATCGTAGCCCTGACCTGGGGTTGGAGATCGGCTGGCTCCACCGGGAGGAGATATCCTTTCTTGTGTGCTGGAGGGATCGACGGCTGAGATCATCCCTGGGACGCCCCTGGTTGGAGACCCATTCGCCTCACATTCAGTGGTCCACCGGCGAGGTTCTACGGTGGGGCATGACTGTTTCCAGCATGTCTTCCCTCCGTGACGAAATCTCCAGTTTCTTCCGCCACTCCGACGTTTCTCTCTCCACCACCTCCGTGGAGAGTACCACCAGTAGAACCTTCTCCGAGATCCCCTCTCCCTACCGGGCGTTCCAGGATGTTTTCGATAAACACCAAGCCACCATTCTACCCCCTCATCGGCCATGGGACTGCGCGATCGACCTGCTGCTGGGGCGGTCCCTACCGCGAGGTAAGATCTACCCTCTGTCCATCCCGGAGCAGAAGGCCATGGAGGAGTACATCCAAGAGGCTCTCGACCACGGATTCATACGAC